AGCTTATCATTTATCATCACAGCAGAAACGATACTCTTTCTAAAGAGTCACATGTTAAAGCAGCAAATTATGCAGACTGTACAACAAAAAAGTGCACTGGAAAAAACGTGCTCTGGTGTTAAATTTCCTTGTGAATTAGCGCAGTTCAGTTGTTTGGTGTGGACCTGAATACGAGTGCAGTGTTCGCATGTCAAAATCGAACTGAAGAAAAAGTTGGACAGGTTCGCACCATCCACGGCAGGTCTGAAAGCATCTCCCAGCTGAAATGGAGATTCTGATTGGCTCTGCCGCTCAGTTTTACTCTGCCTGCTCGTGCTGATTAGCGCTTCATGCAGTTTAGGGAAAGCAGAGGTTTTTATGTGCATCCTGAACTCTAAAAGTACTGGGGCATTGCTCCAGTACTTTGAAAGTGGTGGGTCAAATGCCCGCTTGTGGTTCTGGTTCCTGGATCTGGTTCAGGTGGTACCAGAATTTACAACATCTTTTCTAAATGTCCAGAATGAGCGGAAATCTGCCCAGCTCTGCTCTGTTGGCCAGATTGGAAACACCTCTGTTCACCTGCAGGATGTTTGTTTTTACAGAATTCAAATAACTTTGAATCTGAGAGTGTTTTTCGCCGATTTTCATTTCTTTATTTGCTCTTTTCCTTAGATTTCACGGTCATATAACATTGGTTCGATTATTAATTAGAATAATTTTAACCAAATTGCAATGGGTGTTTGAATTTAGATAATGTAATAAAATCTGTCAATTTCTGTCAATTATATAATTGCTGATTTAAAATCTTCTCCTGAATGTAATATCAGACTAAAATCTGTGTAGTTGATGGTGTGAGGTATTAAGGCATTTCCAAAAATAAACTGACATTTCTTCTCCTGTAATCTGGATTTGTTTATTTGTCTATATTTGTCAAGGACCCAGTCTTTACTGTAAGTCTCCAATATTTATAGATTCTGATGTGCGTCTTTTGTTGGCCCTAATAATACTAAATCGTCTGCGTCCATTAGACAATTTATTTTTTTACCTTCTAAGGTGAGTCCAAGATTAACTGAATTATTTGGTGCCAATTCATTTATATATACATTTAAGGTTAGACTAAAACGGCAGACTTCTTTAGCCCTCTTGTTTTGTTTTGAAATTGTAATATTCCACAGTCCACAGAACACAGACATTTTTCCTCTGGATTTGTTGTGGGTGTGATTTTTAATTTTATTTATAGTCTGTAGGGTGTACTAATCGATTGTCTGCTGTTCAATGTATTGGTAAGAAGCCAGTTTGAGATTTATTGATTATCTTGTGTTTGTTTAGAAATGTTTGAATCCTGATGTTAGTTAAATTACAGAAGATTTTTTCTAATATTCCACTGACACAGATTCCTCTGTAGTTTGTGGGACAGAATGTATTTTCAGTTATAAGGATGGGAGTGATCATGTCTTTGTTCCAGACTTGAGGGAATTTAGCAAAGTATGTAGAATTTTTTTTTCAGATTTCTCTAGTTTTTTTTAGCTATGTGGTTACTTGTTTCTGTGTTTGGAGTCCTTTGTATTCTCAAAAATGAATAAATAAATAGTCCATGTTTCTTCAGATACAGCATTGCGGGACAGAGATCTGACAGGGTCAGTTGAGGTTGTTCCACATCTGCTATTGTCCACAGCACTGCTGCCCAGTGAAGAACAGCATGTAAAATTTTCACATTTTCACACAAACACATCCTTCCATGTACAGTGTTGAATAAATATTGATAAACAGATATCTGCCCTTTCTAATCTGGCATTCAGGTCTCTACATAGAGCAGATCATGGAGACTGGAACATTTTCTTCATGGAGTTCTTGAAAGCATTCTATCTGGTAATAGGTGGAGTTGAAGTGGAATGTATGTTGCACAAAATCTTAATTTTTATTCTGCATCTATTTCCTGTATGTATTGATTTAATTAGATTGCATGTTTTACTCCTACATCACTTTCAATATGCCTGTAAGATAATCCTTGGTGCCAAATGGAATCAAAAGCCTTTGTCTATAAAGCATTCAAATACTTTAGATTTATATTTTTTGATTAGGGTGTGTACGTGTGAATATGATCAGTGGTGCGATAATTTGATAAGAATCTAATTTGTCTTCTACTCAAGACATTGTGGCCAGTAGGCAAGTTTAAAAATCTACAATCTAAGATGTTACACAGTAACTTGCCCAGATTACTGTTCATACTGACGCCTCAGTAATTTTAAGGGTCAAATTTACATTTACATTTACAGCATTTAGCAGATGCTCTTATCCAGAGCGACTTATAAAAAGTGTTGATACCCAGAGAAAAAGAAACACAGCGCAGTGCAATACATTTCAATAAGTGCAGTACAATACATTACAATTAATTACTTAACTCTTATTTTACTTAATTCTTACTTAAGTGCTCATTTAAGTGTTGTATAAAAAGTCTGCGTTTGAAGACCGTGAAAGACTCTGCTGTTCGCACAGCCAGTGGGAATTTGTTCCACCACCTGGGTGCCAGTACAGAGAAGAGTCTTGATGCTTGTCTTCCATGTGTTTTGAAGGATGGCGGGTCAAGCCGAGCTGTACTCGAAGCTCGAAGGGCTCGTGGTACAGTTCGAGTTTTCACCATTGCCATCATGTAGAGAGGGGCTGGTCCGTTTTTGGCTGTGTAGGCATCAGCGTTTTAAATCTGATACGTGCAGCTACAAGAAGCCAGTGAAGGGAGCACAGCAGTGGAGTGACTGAACTCAGGAAGATTGAAGACGAGCTCGGCTGCTGCATTCTGGATGAGCTGCAGAGGTTTGATGGCCGCGTAGGAAGACCAGTCAAGAGCAAGTTGCAGTAGTCAAGCCTTGAGATGACAAGAGACTGAACGAGCACCTGGGTGGCCAATCGAGTGAGGAAGGGTCGAATCCTCCGGATGTTGTACAGGAGAAACCTGCATGGCCGAGCACACGCTGAGACTTATAGCCAAGATGGTAAAACTGACATGTTGTGGCTCCCTAGGTGGTTTCATTTTTGTTGATGGACAAAATGGCTCTTCTTAACATTTCAGTTACCGACCCCTGAGCTAAGCCTGCTAGTGAAGGGTGATCAGCGCGTGACCATTTGCTCGAACTGTCTGCGGCTCAGTCAGAGTTGCACAGTTGCCACCAATCCTGTTAACGACCGCATTCTGTGGTTCAGATTTTGGGCGGATTGACTGAAGTCTAGGGTGAAGAAGAAAGAAGAAAAATACACCTCCAGATAACAGCAGTGTTGTTCACCATCACTAATAAACATGTTATTGTTCATACAGCCTGACTGGTGTTTATATTACAAAGCTATTTTTATTGCATGCTCATTTACATTTACAGTTCTGTGTGTTTGGTTAGTTTAGGACTAATACAGTTTTAAGTCTGTATCAAGTCTTTCTTACTTAAACTCATGTACTGAAAAGGCTCCTCTACTGATTTGACCCTTTCAACACCGTCAGTGTCTCAAACTACACGTGCTTTATATAAAAACTGTGTAAATATGTTTGTATAGTTTATTCAATTTAATGTTTTTGAGCTCACTTTTTCTTACAAACATCAGTGGCTGTGAAAAATCACTGAGAGCTGTTTCATTCATTTGTTTTATCTGTTCAAAAATAACAAAAATATTATAAGTTAGGCTATTTTTACAAACTGCACTGTATAATTTAATGTTCTTATGTTAATTTAATGTAAGTTGTGAGTTGGATTACAAACATCAAATTTGTGGTAAATATATTTTATATATAAAATATATATTATTGGTTATATATTATTGATTACTAATGATCAGTATTGGCCCTGAAAAACCATATCAGTCAACCCCCCCCTCCCCCCCTCCCAAACAGCTTTACAATTCCACTGTCACTGATCACAGACACAGTCAGACCACCACACAGTGCATCTCAGTAACTGCACACACCCAGAAACAGACCCCCTTACACCCCCTCAGACCCCTCAAAGATAAACAAAATAATAAATAAATAAAAACAGTGGCTACACCAATGTCTGCACTCTTGTCTTCAGCCACTCTACAAAAGGAGACAAAAGGTAGTTTTCAATTTTTATGCACACATATATAAATGCTGCAGCAGCCTAGACCTCCAGTAAAGTTAAGCTGGAAACCCTATTAGAACCCATAGCCTTGTAGCCTTAGCCCCAGTGATGCTTACACGCACTGTGTGGAATAGGCGCACGCGCACACACACACACACACACACACACTGTTTGTAGGTTATTTCAGTAACTGTAACTGCTGACCCCCTTTGGAAGCTCTCCTTCAGTCACCAGCCTCCACAATTAGCTAAACATAATGAATACCCCACTGTAAGAAGCGCCAGCACTGCAGCATTTGGGACTAGAACAAATGCCAAACCATTCCATTGTATAAAACACATTAAAACCCCCAGCGTTGCTTAGCTTTAACAATTGAAAGTAGTTACCTGTATCTCATCTTTCTGACTGTTTAAGCAGGGCAAAGCACCAAGACTTCATTCAGCTACAGAGTAAATGAAACAACTCATTAAACTTCTACACAGAGATTGTGAACTACCAAAATGCCCACATCAACAAACGTGCTAAAATAATCACACGTACCGTGACTCCATACTACAGTGGCGTTCTGACGGGTCTCGAAACAGCTCAAGATATTCGCGTTTGCTCTCGACTCTGAACACTAGCCTTCCTGCTGGGTCCTAGTGCCCGTCCTGTTTCCATCCCAGCTGGGACCTAGTGTCACACAGGCTACAAATGTACAGACTCAGTGATCATAATGTAGAAAAAGGCTCCATAAGAAACACTTAAAGAAGAACGACTCTGTAATCAGTGTAAACAGACACCACTTTCTCTCCTCACGCAGTAAATATAGACAGAGAGAGACTCAGAGAGAGAGAGAGAGAGAGAGAGAGACAGGAAGGTGAGAACATTTAAATGAGTATATTAATGTGTGTGTGTGTGTGTGTGTGTGTGTGTGTGTGTGTGTGTGTGTGTGTTTAGAGTGGAACATGGAGGTGAGAACAGAATCAAAGCAGGATTGAAGAAATGTAAGTACATACATACACACACTCTCTCTCTCACGCGCGCACACACACACACACACAGACAGACTCACGTACTTGTTTTTGTGAAAATCGTGACATAAACCTACAATACTGGAACACACCTTTCTGAGAGATCTAGAGATGAAAACAGTTCTGTGTTAAAGAAAGTTCATATATTAAGTTCATCAGCTGATATTTTATTATCTACCGTCTTTAAGAGGTCTGAACTCTCACAGTGCAGTCAGGACGTTTTCCAGTTTAAATATCAGGACATGAAAACACACAATTCTCCTGTTCATACCACACTGTAAGGACATGGTGAAAACTAACCACACACAAAGTTCTGACTGTTAAATCAAGAACAGGAACAGAAAAAACTCCAATACTTTAATAATAATCAGGTGTATAAATGATGCATCATGACGCTGCGTAACAAGGCATTATGGAAAATGAATAAGGAATTTATCAGGTCTCTGAAAGTTTAATCAATGACTTCCTCTGATGTTAACATATTCTTTTTAAAATGTAAAACATGAATGATAAGTTGGCTGGTATATTTAATAAATGTCATTCTCTCTCGTAGCCAGTAGTTTACACCATAACATAATTTTGCGAATGCAGACCACGCCTTGGTAAGTTAGATAATGATAGGAGGGGAACTCTGAGGAAAATTTGGGCTGGAGTTCAGTACGGCCTCTGTGGATCGAGAGAGGGCCGACCCCCCTACCAAGATTAAGTGCAGGCATGGACAAAGTGGAGGAGAAGGGGAGGAGGAGGGGTGCGAAATTTCGTCACGAGTGGGAGGAGTGAAGGAGTGGTATTTATAGGAAGCTGAAATTGGGAAGGAGGAGTTAAGGCGTGGTCTTTCCTCAAACTTCAGTTATGCCATAACTCCATTTTGTGAATGCAGACCACGCCTTGGTAAGTTAGATAATGATAGGAGGGGAACTCTGAGGAAAATTTGGGCTGGAGTTCAGTACGGCCTCTGTGGATCGAGAGAGGGCCGACCCCCAAAAATTCCAGATTAGATGGAGGCCAGCTGTTCGTGAGCTTGGCGGAGGTCCTGGATTTGCGTGCGTATGTAGCCATGGTAAGCTTGCGAGGACCATCGTCCGAGTAGTTGGACCATATGGTCGGGGAGCCCTTGGCGAGTAGCAGAAGAAGCTGCTCCAATTCTGAAGGAATGAGCAGAAAATTGTTCCGGAGGGTAACCAGATAATGAAAGAACTAGGCGTAAGAGTTTGTGGAACCAGCGACGGGAGACCACGGAGCCGGTTTCTGTAATGAAAAGTGGGTCTGATTGTTGGGCGTTTTGAGAGAGCCTGAGTTGGAGTAGCTGTGCCAGAGGCTCATATGGGCTCAGATAAGAGTTGATTTTAAATAAGTACAAAGGAATGCTTTTACCAAACTGGTTTGTTTTGCTGTGTTTGATGTTGTAGATCATGGTATCTGAGTTTAACATGGTTAAGTCTGATAGGCAGGGATGTAGAGCAGGGTTGAAAGCTTCTGTTTGAGCTGTATATTCTGAGCATCTCAGGAATCCGAAAAAGGCGAGGAGAAACAGAGCTTCTAATGTAGTGGATAGTTCTTTGGGGAAGAGACCAGCACGGAGTGTCTGAATGCAGTGGTGGAGTATGTCAGAGGTTAAGGGCAGCTGGCGTGGTGGAAGGCGAGGTTCATTTCTTTGGATTCCTTTTAGTAAAAGTATAATCTGAGGGTGGTTAGCTGTTGTGTGTTGGGTTCCGTTGATAAGCTTTGTAAAGAAATTGATCCCGGCTAAATAGACTTTTAAGGTGGAAGAGCGAATGGCTAAATATGAACTGGCAAATGTGAGGTAAGCAGCTGTCGTTGACAGATTGTCTGAAGGGAACGGAATGCTGTGGAGTGCGTGGAAGCGCTGGAAAGATTTCCATCCGGACCAATAGGTTGACAGGGTACGAGGGGCAACTGCGCTTAAGATTATTTCTTGAGCTTGGAGGAGGAGCTGAAAGAACTGCTGGTCAGTTGGAGGATTGAGTCTGAAAATGGAGGAATTGGTGTCGGATGAGGCTCTGCTTGAGGTGCCAAGGCTTTGAATTTCTGAAATTGAAAACGAGAGAGAGAATCAGCAATAGCATTTGAATGGCCTGGGATGTGAATGGCTCGAAGAATAAATTGATGTTTGATTGAGTGCCAAGTCAGGCGATGTAAGAATGGCATGAGTGTCAGGGATTTAGATCGTCCTTTGTTTATCATATGAACAACAGCAGAGTTGTCGGAGTGGATAAGGATCACTCGTCATGTCCATTCGTGTCCCCAAAGGAGTGCGGCTATGACGGCCAGGTAGAGTTCCCACAAGACAGAGGAATCACCTGATTCAAATGAAAGTGAAGCAAACTCCGGAGGCCATTGAGAAGCGAACCAGCGGCCGCCATAGAAGCCGCCGAAGCCTATCGAGGGAGCAGCATCAGTGAATAGTTGCAGATCTTCAGGGACTAGGATAGCGTCTTCGTGGAAGAAAGAGATGCCATTCCATTGCTGAAGGAGGAAGAGCCAGAAGCGGAGTTCCGAGATACATGCGTCATCCAAGGAGAGGCGGTGTTGAAGTGAGGGAACCGAGGAGGCAATGCTGAGGAGGTGGGAGATAAAAGAGCGACCTTGAGGTATTATTCGAATTGCATAATTGAGATGCCCAAGAAGAGGAGCTGGAGCTTCGAGCATTGAGGCTGCAGCACAAATTCTGACAGGGCAGTAGCAATGCGATCCAGCTTATCGGGTGGAAGGGAAGCCTGAAACAAGACTGAGTCCAGCTGAATGCCAAGGAACTCAAGAGAGGTAGATGGACCCAATGTCTTCTCCGGAGAGAGGGGGATACCGAGACGCTGAAATGCAGAGGAGAGGGTGCGGAGGCCATACGCAGGTGGGGAGGAAGGGGGGACCGCCACGAGGAAGTCATCGAGGAGGTGAAGCACGTAGGGTAGTCTGCAAACATTCAGCAAGATCCAACACAAGGCTTCGGCCAGAGTGTCGAAAATCTTGGGGCTGCTTTTGCATCCGAAGGCGAGTCGAACTGCAAAGTAAAATCTGCCATCCCAGCAAACTCCGAACAGATGCCAAAAATCAGGGTGCAGAGGGAGGATCTTAAAAGCCGAGACAATGTCAGCCTTGGCGAGCCAAGCTCCACGGCCGGCCTGCTTGATGAGCGATATAGCATTGTCCACGGTAGCGTAGTGAAGAGAGAAATCAGAGCTAGGCACGAGGCTGTTGATGGATGGTTCTGAAGAGCCGTGAGGGGCAGACAAATCAATGATGAGGCGTTTCTTGCCGGAGTATTTACGAGTGGCGACGCCAATAGGATTGACGCGATAGGTGGAGAAGGGAGCAGAAGCGAAAGGGCCGATCATGAAACCCTCCAAAACTTCCTTGGCTAAAAGAGAAGACACAACATCAGGCTCGGACAGAGCGGAGAGGAGGTTGCGACATGAAAGGGATGAGGCAGGAAGCACAGCGAGTCCAGGAGAAAAGCCAAAGATGAGGCCGTCCAGCAAATACGAGACGAAAGAATGATCAGGATGGAGGGAGAGGTCAGCAGCGAGAGCAGGGACATTGACGGGAGTAGAAAGATGCCGAAGTAGTCATTTGGGCCCAAACTTAGGAGGGTGAAGGGGACATCCCGATCTAGAATGAGCGTGGCCACAATGAGAGCAGACGTGGAGGAACTTGCACGAAGAGGAAAAACAACCAGCGGAGTTGAAATTATTACAAACCATCCGTCCCCCGAGGAAAAGCAAACGCCGCCCGTGGCTATCGCGGGAACTGGAAGTCGTAAAGATAGGGGCGGGGGCTGCCGTAGGAGCTGAGGGTACGGCAGTGCGGGGAGCGGGAGGGGGCGGAGCAACGAGATTGCAGGAGGAAGCGGGGTGAGACGGGCAACCGCAGAGCTCACAGGAGAGAGCAGTACGACCAGCAAAAACGCGACAGTAGAGCTCAAGGTCCAGGTAGCCCCAATATGTAGACATGTTCCACTGCTGAAGACGGGCAGACGCATGGGCCGAGAACAGACGATGGTAATCGTAGAAGCCCGACCCTCCAAATCGAACGGCGAGGTCCAAGATGATAGAAAGATAGTCATCCAGCTCCTGACGCCGCGATGGGAAGGCTGAGCAGAGTACATCACGGTAGATGGAAAAAGCGAGTGCGAACTCAGGAGTGGTGAGGACCTTAGAGGTGCGAGGATCGGCACACTTGAGGGTGAGAGAAACATCGCCGGCGTCGATTGTACGGGGAGCACCGGAGGCAGCGGAAGGGTGAAGTAATGAAGGGAGACTGACGTCCGCACCTTGGAGGATCCGTGCACGCAGGGCAGAAGAGACGAGAGGTGGATTGAAGAGGCGGGCCTCGCTGGGTGGGACAGCAGGAGGAGCGGTGTAGAGGGAAAACGAGGAGTCGGCGAGGAGGGGCCGAGGCTGGGCTGGCAGTGACTGCGACTGGAGACCTGGGATGAGATGAGAAAACGAGGCAGAAGGGCAAGCAGGGAACGTCATAAAAGAAGGAGGAAACAGGTACGAAGAAAGGGGGAGGGGCTGGGATGATGAAAGGAAGGGGAGGGATGATAAAGGGAGGGGTTGGGATGATAAAGGGAGGGGTTGGGATGATAAAGGAAGGGGTTGGGATGATAAAGGAAGGGGTTGGGATGATAAAGGGAGGGGTTGGGATGATAAAGGGAGGGGTTGGGATGATAAAGGAGGAAGCTGAGAAGAAGGAAGAGACATATCCAAAGGTGGGGCAGAAAAAGGCTGGGAAAATATAGGGGGAGAGAGCCGAGAAAAAACAGAAGCAAGGCATGCAATGGGGGCGACGACAGTGCTGGCAGGGCCAGCAACGGAGGCAGGCTGCCTGGTAGCGGGTCCGGGACATCCAGCGGAGGGCGGCACATCAGACGAGGGGGCGTCCGGGGAGTCGGTGACGTCATCACGCGCCGGGGCCGTGGGGAAGGTGACGCGATCAGGGTGCGCCTTAGCAGC